CACTACCACTACCACTACCACTACCACTACCACTACGACCACTACGACCACTACGACCACTACGACCACTACGACTACTACTACTACTACTACTACTACTACTACTACTACTACTACTACTACTACTCCTAGTCCTAGTCCTAGTCCTAGTCCTAGTCCTAGTCTTGCTCCTACTCCTACTCCTGCTCCTGCTCCTACTCCTACTCCTACTCCTACTACTACTACTACTGCTGCTGCTGCTGCTGCTGCTGCTGCTGATGCTGCTGATGCTGCTGCCGCTGCTGCTGCTGCTGCTGCTGCTGCTGTGGCTGCTGTGGCTGCCGTGGCTGCTGTGCCATCACCACCGTTACCGCCTCCGCCCGCGCCACCGCCACCGCCACTGCCACCATCACTACCACGACCACCAACACTACCAAGACGACTTCTGCTACCAGTCGTAGTCGTAGTAAAAGGCATGCTCGTGGTGCCACTGTCCAAAAATTCTAGACATGTGTTCGAGGAGCGATTCGCACCTAGAAGGATACGGCTCACAGCGTGTCACATGCGATACACTCTCTGGACATTATGGCTACTGGTATCACTTTCCCGGCGGTCCTATCTGGATTGATAGTGTTGCTGCAACCGTCAGCAGTGTTACCAGACTGCCACTGACACCATCTATCCTGTTATTGCTTCAGTTCTTATATGCAGTACGAACAGTGTTAATGATGTTTTTACTCGTCGTACCTGCTTGAAATTCCATCTTGTGAGCTTTTGATCCCGATCACTCTAACTCAGTCAAAACTACTTCGTCTTTTGCGGTGTGTCTATAGTGTGCGCGCTTGTTGCCTGGGATGACAGAAATATGCGGAGGATCTAATCATCCCGTGTATTCTCAACTCTCTGGTCAAGCCTGGTCTGGCATTCCCATTTTGGAAAGCTTCTCCCTCTTGGGCCAAATCTGCGGCAACGTTCGCGTGACGAGGACGTATTCGGAAATTCCTTGAAGACAGACTCCAGCAACGATTGCTACACCTTTCAAAGACTGTCGTGCACGGTCGCGGTCTCTCCTCCACGGCATTGCTTACTGGTTTTCCGTGTGTACGTTTAAACAATGGCAGCACCGATGGCTGCCCTGCACCCACCGGCTTTTAGCCTAGTTTGGCCCTCGCTGGGATATCATTGCTGGCTCTGAATTTGAGACCTGTTTCGATGACTCCGATACACGACTGGACCGGTGAGCCGGTTGAACTCCATCGTGCAGCTGGGGAACTTCATCCAACAGCTGCTGTCGCATGTCCCGTGCGCAATGTCACCAATGACAGCATCTGCAAAAGAGGAGTTGCAAGATCTTGCAGAGTCCGCGTCCACTAGATGTTCATCGACGACACCAATCACCATTCCTTCAACTTGGCGCTGCTGGAACGGAAACATGGGCTGCTGGCTCTGGAACAGCCTTCGCACTCCAACAGCTCACATCCACAGGATTCGAAACAATGTTCAGGCTGCGTTGGGATGTTGCCTCTTCGACACGGCAGGTGCACAAAAAACATGCACGCCGCATGTGTCCGAGGATAACAGGTGTTCACCACTACAAATCATGCTGCATACAGTGCAAAAATCCAAGACTGGACTGGAATATTGGTGTATGACCTTAGGGACTATGGCTGCAGGTGCTGCTGAGCTCAGTGCTTCAACTACACCTTGTCCAAGTACCCAACAGCAGCCCGAAGTCTCCGCAGGAGTAAGACTAGGCCTGAAGCACTACAGACATTGAGCTGATGTGCACGTCTCATGGGAACAAACTTAATGCAGCAGGAGCTTGGCACCTTCAAAGCTTTTAAATGACTTCCAAACGGCCTGTAAAGCCACATCGAAAAGCATGCAATGCAGGCAAGTGCTGCAGTCAGGATGTAGGTCGTACACGACTGGGCAGCCCTAACACTCTAACATCTAACTCGAAAGGTGGAATGACACAAGACCATGCGAACTGCATTATTTTGAAAGAATTGCTCGTCAACCCAAGTGATGCCATTAAAGAATTCTATGCCCTGAGCGCACGCGACCTTTCAACGTTGTTGGTTTTCAAGCTGCAAGAGCGCTCTCCTTCCGACACTTCCGGGGCTCCTGCGACACAGCAAAAGCAGAGAAACCCTCAGGGAGAATCTGTACTTTGTCGGCCCCAGAAGATTCAAGTTGAGTCTTAAACATGACGGCTCACAGCTTGGAATCTTGATTTCAGCTGGGATATGGAGAGACAGTGGCAGGAGAGCGTCAGTGTAGACATACGGACCCAGGCTACAGAAAAGGTCCTTGCAAATGGTCCTACATTTTCGCAGAATATCCTCTCAAGCCTAGCGAACAAGAACTTGCAATCAACAATGTCTGGCTGACTGCTCCTCAGCATCGGTTTTCGAGATTTCAATCGTCCGGCCATACCTGTTCTCCAGCAGCTGTCTGCGTTTACTATCTGCTCTTGACTACCTTCCAGTGACCAATACTGGTGGCAATGGATCCTTTAGGATGATCTTCTGGTGATCGGAGCACCAAAAAAAACAGAGCACAAGCGTTCCAAGCATCCGGCAAGTCAAGCACGGGGAAGAGACTGATGTTGTCCGGCACCCGCTCCTACGCCCAACCCCAAACGGTGTCAATGCGTTCAGCAGGGCAAGACTAACACGGCGCAAGTCTTCCAGCAGATCCTCCATGGGCAGGCTTTCTTGCAGCACACCATCGATGTAGATCTGACACAATACCAAAAAGAAGTTGAAGGGCAGGAAAGTCTATCCCAAACTGCAGGCCTCAATCGACATCGGTTTTACCAGCATTCCAACACAACTCCCCTGACAGCGCATCGAAGGGTCTTCCAACACACAACTCACGAGGCAGCGGTACCTGCTTCAAAGCTGCCGCTGAGAGGCGCTTCCCCTGTGCAGCCTCGTATCTTGCGAAGAGTATGACAACTGCTCGAGCGCAAACACGACACGGCCTCATGGTTGTTGATGCTGAGGCAGACCTGGTGGAACCCGGATATGGCGAAGATGCAACCTCTCCCTGGGATGCTTCTGGCATCATAGCTCATCCGCTGAGGTGCGCGCCATGGACTGGGTGAAATCTACGACCCAGGATCGCGGAACCTGGGCTTGACACCCATCAGACAATGCATACTGGAGCCGCTTACAGCGGCCTCGTCGGCGACAGACCCCAACTCTTCAATCTCCTCGAGAAGGAGGAGGTCGGGTGTTCAACACACATGGGGCCCGTCTGCTGCTCCCGCTGATGCTCTTAACTACAGCTTTCAGACAGACGCAACTGCTCCGGGACTGTCCTGAGGGTCACAGGCTGTGACTCCAAACCCAAAGTCGTTGACACTGTCACCTATGCCCTGCCCAGGTGCCGAGGCGAATTGCATCTCTCCGCAAGAACATCCGGGAGCTAGCGCATTTGGTAGTGCATCCGAATGGTCGAGCCTCTCCGCATTTGTCCAGCTGAACCTCGAAGTACCTATTCAGCAATTGGTCCCATGCATTTTCTTGATTGTTTCCGAAGTGCAGCAGATTGAACACAAATTAACCCATTGAACAAACGCATCCCTTCTCCAAAGACTCGAGCAACCAAACAAAGACTGAGGCTGGGTTATCAGGTCTGCGCACGGCCAACGTCCGGGTGATCGTTGCAAAGCTGCATCTCCCAGCACAACGAGCTCCTGCTGGCAACCGAGCATCGTCTCGTCGGAGCTAGACTCGGACATTACTACCGTTGGACACCTCCTCGGCAACTCGACGCACGGCAGTCCCATGCTTCAGAACCTCTCAGGAAATGCATGCGGCCAAAAAAATCCACGGTCTCACAGGCCAATCAGAGTAGAGACAGGCAGACTTCAGTCATTTCTGTCATGCACACTGGCGGAACACGAGCTTCAGACAAAACACTGCTGTCCGGCTGGCAAACGCATCCCAAGTTTGGAACGCAAGACGCGGAAATGGAAACAGCCACGATGACCCCGCACCCCTGACAGCAAGCTTTAGCTGCCAACGGGGCATCTGTTGGGAGCGAATACGCTGCACCGAAACTTCAAACGGTCTTCCAACTGCTGCAGGACTGGCTGTGGTTTCAAGCATTTCAAGCTTCGCTCCAGGACAACCCGACGAATATTGGAGCATCTCAAGCTGCCAGCCCTGCAGGTCTACGACACTCCATCCAGCCGGCCTGCCAAATGACTGTCTTTCGACATGAATCGGCTGAGGGCATGCACCCAGCCTCGCATCTGTCAGACTCATGAAATCGATGTGATTCGATGTGGATCAATCGTCTTCTTCCTCCTCCTGTCAAATTTGGACAGAAGACATCATCTGCCATTGCTTTCGTCTTTGCTTGCGTTGTACTCTGAGCGAGGGCCCAGAAAGACAACATAACTTTCGAATCAAATCCTAGTTCCGGGCGAGAAGTTGGACATTCAGAGAGAGCTCCTGATCTGGCATGCCGGTTTGCCTCAGCGGAACATCTAAGCTACGCTAAGCTAAGCGCGTTCGAAACACGGTAGGTGCAGAAACCGGTGAACGAGGGTCGCACAAAGCTTCACCCCAGCCAGCCAAAGCATCCGGCCTCGATCACGTGGAGATTCGACTCAAGCAGAACTTTCTATCACCAATCCACTGCGAGCCCGAATTCGAAACATCGGCCCGCCGGCTCATCCAATTAAATCACAACTGCCCCCGTTGCCAGCGTCATGTCTGAGGAGACTGCGAGTAGCCTGCCAAGGCTTGATTGCTGGCCGCCAAGTTGGCATACGCCTCCATGGGCCTGCCATGCCGCACACAAAGCTCGGATCCATTCCAGCGGCAGCTTCTTGAGGTCTGGTAAACATGGAAAGCTCGCATCATGGGGTAGAAGTTGTTCATCAAATAGGCATTTGCCTGCGGCGACAGTGCCAGCAAGAATGCGATCAGGTTTCAAAAGTGCTGAGCACCCGGCATCATAGCCCTCCAAGCCCTGCATGGCCCTGACAGCTCGCAGCCATCATGCTCAGCATCCACCGCACGGTTTTAGGCCCGTTGCACATCGCTAGCAAAGCTCCGGGCAGCATGCTTTGGTCAAAGACCATCGGCGGAAAGGCTCCCATCATGGGCATGGGCATGGGCATGCCAGCCATTCCATAAGCCTCTTGGCATGTAAAGTCACAAGCTTCTTCCAAGCATCTTGAGCGCCTTGGCCATCTGGGCTTGCGAGACATCCGCAGAAACCTCAGCTCGCAGGCTGCTTTCCTACAAAGCTCCTTATGCTTTTCAGTGTGAGGACGGCACCGACTTTGCGTTCCCAGGACCCCGTCCTTTTCCTAGCGAGGGTGCCGACATGCCCGGGCCGCCAACTTCTATCATCTCCCAACTTAGAGCTGGACCTTTGCTGCCAGCCTTTGCCCGAAGGCCACGCCAGGACACCGAATCGAGTTTACACATCCTACCCCCATGATATGATAGCAAGCGCTCATCTTTTTTTAGCACAACCAAGAGCACCACCTTGCCGCGACCTCTCCCATTCCCTCTCCCACCTGTCCATGCAACTCTCAGGCGATCCGTTCTCGGCTCGTGATCAGCTCCACTGCCTCCGGTCTCTGTGCCGGCCAAATTCAGCCCCGCCTCGGAAGGCCAAGCTTCAGCTGGCGAGTCTCAAGGAGTTCCTGAAGCTAGCGCCATCTGTTGCCAGACTGTCATCGCCTGGAGCAACCAGCTGCAGCTGCAAGGGAACCCGTGCGACTGCGAGCTTTCTGAAAGCTTGCCTCTGGTTGCGGGAATGCGCTGAAAGGAACTGCCAGGCTGAAGCAATGGCAGGAAACAGCACGGGACACACGACGCGTCTCCTTGAAACGGAAATCCTGGCATAGGGGCCTCAGTGAAGCTGCCATTCGCAACAGTTCGCAACCCGGTCCAAAGCCGGAATCTGGGGGCGCTGACCGCCGGTTTGTCAGATGTTTGCGCACGCTTCTTCCGCTGCTTCGCCGACTGTCCGGCCTCAGCATAGAAGCACACATTCGGTAGACCGGGCTTTCTGTGTGCGGCTCTGGTCTTTGCCAGGCGAGCTGCTGTGGAGGCTTCGTCATCTAAGGGGAACGTTTCCTTCTCACCATTCGCATTCATGAGAACAGGAAGCCATTCCTTAGCCAAAGCCACTGCAGAAGCTCATCATGATCAGAGAGGATGGTCATGATGATGATGATGATGATGCTGGTGCGGATGCCCTGGCGCCTGCATGAGATGCCGGCTGAGGATGATGCTGGTGATGGTGACGATGAGGAGGACGTTAACAGCGACGACTAGCACGGCGGCAACCCTACAGCGCACAACAACGACCGGACGGTGCTGACGGTAGTGGCGGTGGCGGTGAGTGAGTGAGTGAGTGAGTGAGTGAGTGAGTGAGTGAGTGAGTGAGTGAGTGAGTGAGTGTGTGAGTGAGAGTGTGAGAGTGACAGTGAGAGTGAGAGAGAGAGTGAGAGTGAGAGTGAGAGTGAGAGTGAGAGTGAGAGTGAGAGCGAGAGCGAGAGCGAGAGCGAGAGGGAGAGTGAGAGAGTGAGAGTGAGCGAGCGAGTGAGTGAGTGAGTGAGTGTTTACCTGGGGTGCTCTCCGGCCGTCGGAAACGGTCCCTCTGGCCGTCTTTGCCCCTCTTCGTACCGCATGTGTCATCGGGGCTCCGGTTCAACACTCCGGGCCGGGCGGCTTGGTCGGAATTGGACACTTGGCAATGATCCCTCAAGCGGTTGAAGTGGCGTCGTGGTGGTAGTAGTGGTGGTGGTGGTGGTGGTGGTGGCGGCGGCGGCGGCGGTGGCGGTGGTGACCATCAAGCTTTTGCAGCCAAGCACCGGATGCGCAGCCAGCTGCAGCATCAGCTCTGGACTGCTCTTCAATCGTTTGACGTTTTCGGCACGGCCCTGCCACTTTGCTCGAGTAACTTGGCATACCTGCGAAGATTTGCGGGTCTGCGGGTCTGCCCAGGGCAATTTCAAAGGAGTTCGACATCTTCCGGCGACCACGAGCCTTGTAGCTGTTGAAGCCAGGAAGGCAAGTCCTCGGCATCAAACATGGACACCGCTGGCATGCCGGCTAATCAAACGCTTCAGGCATCTTCAGACACTCTCTGTAGACTCAGGACTGCACTGCGCCGGCTTGCCATCAAACATTTGCTGAAATCTTTGCCTTGCAAGGATCGTCTCGCCAGGCGTTCAATACTGCTTCGTGCGCAAGCAATCCAACGAGATTGGACGGGGCCTTGCACTGACCGTGCGAAAGTTGCAGAAGCAGTAGCCAACGTTGCAGCGGTTAGTAAAATCGGTGGGCAAGTACCTGGCACGGTCCCTACACGTTTAATGTACTCGACCAACAGGAGCAGCTCGACCCCTCAGGCGCTATCAGGGCTCCATGCATTGGACCCTAAATCCGGTGTGAGCACAGCAAAGGGGATTAGGACATGAAGAATGACGAAGCTGAATATTTCACCGATGTGAAGGCTTCCTTCCTTCGGAATACCCCTTTGACATGCGTACGACATCTCACGTCAAGGGTCCAACAAGTCTTGTTAAGGCTTGCCAGTGAGTAGTGTGGCCAACCCTCTGAATGGGGAAATAGCGTCACGCTTCGTTCAGGTACTGTGTGCTGTTGCGCCTCCGCCGCCCGCCTACTGCTGATTGCTACTGCCACTATCACTACCACTACACCTACACCTATACCAACCACTACACCTACACCTACACCTCCAGCTACACCTACACCCACTACTGCCTACTACTACCTACTACGACCACTACGACCACCACTACTACTAC